TGCAGACAAATCCATATTCCCACCTGCTCTTTTTATCAGGAAACTTCAAAAAAAGCTGCCCCCCCTTTGCTTACCACAGTGTTCAAAGAGTTTCCACAGCACGATATTCCACTTCCCACGGGGAAATAAAATGATAAAGAAAAAATCAATACAAAGTTTGTTCTCCTTTCCCTGCTAATCAAGGCTCTGCCTGCACCACAACGAGTGCCTCGAAGACTGGGACAACACTAAGCAGTTACATTCTTCTTCCTACACACCAATAAAGACAGGTTAACTGTCTAAGGACACTGTGCTGGGATAATATTCCCCAAAATTGCTTACTTAGAGCATCTAACTTGAACTACCCTACTCCAGGCTCTTTCACCCCCCTGACATTTCAACAGAAATTAATGCAGTTGATAACGGTTGAGAATGGAAAAAGAGAATCCCCAATGAAGGTTTTGACACTTCAGGTTATATTTGATCTGAGAAGAACTCAGTTTGTGCTACATAATCTGTCTGCTCATGGACCACAAGGCACAGCCACCCAAGAGGAAGGCTGTACCCAACAGGGGGCTCAGAAGAGCTGCTTCCCTTTCCCCATCAATTCCAAGTTGACATTTACTCAAGGAAGGCAGATGTTTTTCCAGTTTGTGTCTAAATCACCGCTTAGACCAATCAATTTTGTCTCCTTTTCTTCACCAAGGGGGATTGATTTACTATAATATTAAAAAAATTGAGTTGTTGACACACTGATTATTTTTTTTTGGTTGTTTTTAAATCAGTGCTACCATCCTGAGGAGACAGGAACAGAAAGGGTGTGTTTTGGAAAGCGAACGATGACAAAATTTGAACATGAAGGTAACGTCATGCCCCAGTCTTGCTCTGTGCTCCTTCTATCTATTCTAGGACTACAAAAACTTCTCCATACACAAAAAGACAAGGACAAAAAAAACTTGCACGCTGCTTATATGCCTTTTTTCCCCCCATTTTAGAACAGAGAAGATGAGTTGGCACTCCTGCTGTTGAGCCTCCTGGTTACTAGCACTGAATTTCTTGGACCGTAAAAGACTCTGAAATAGCCAAAGATCCTTTATACTGGGGTTTTTCAGATAACTATCCTGTAAGTCTGCTTCATTACAATTCAGATTTATAAATGGAAATGAGGATTTATGCTACTCCGACTTACAAATTTCTCTCTGAACCTAAAAACCTTAATAATAGTCTGCAAGAGTTTCAGTTAGATTAAGGAAGGGAAACGCAAGTGGGTTTCTTGTATTGTCAGTGAGAAGCCTCACTCCTAACCCTTTCTAATCCAGAATTTGCCCCACTTGACTCACTTCATGCTGTCAAGAGACAATGTCATCATACAAGTTGGCTTCTTCCACATCTAATTTAATGTAATGCTACAGTTTGACAAGTCTGTTCAGTTCCAATGGGCTTAAAAGTCAGTCACATTTGCAACACAGATTTCTCTTTTACCGCAACTGAAGACATTTTAATTCCGTATTCAATTTCGATTTAAACACTTAAAAGACAAGGCTTCTTTGATTACATAAAATGTCTACGTTCCTTCTCCCTCTCTAAATTAGCCATTCCATCAGCTGAGAGAGTGCATGAGAGACTGCAAACACGTCAGAACACTCCAGGTACATCCCACTACATTGCAAATCGTACGACTAAATGGAATGATTTTTCCACAATTCATGCACGGATAAGGCTTTGACAATCATTAACTTTTGTAAATTGTTATTAGGATAATACAGTCAACTCACAAAACCCTACAAAGATTTGACAATCAAAATGGCTACACCAGGAAAAAAAAAAAAAAAAAAAAAAAGAGTGTAAAGCACAAGTCTTTGGCTCTCCTTTAAAGAAAAAAACAGCAGTTTACCATGTTTATACAGATCCCCCGTTTGCCTACCAGTAGGGGCAATATCACATTTGTGCATCACTGAGTAATAACACCATTAGAAAAGGCAACTTCACAGAAGTTATTGGCTAAGCGAATTCATTTGAATGCTCTGTTTTGAGGCAGCAAGCTGTCACTGTTACACAATCAGGGAGGGTGAATGGGCAAGCCACAGGAGGAAAGGAAGGTATGGACAAAAAAAGGGAGAAGAAACCAGACAGAGAAGGGCTTGAGAAGAGAAGGGGTAAATAAAAGAAGCTCTACTCTGAACTGGGAGAGGATACCACAGTGTACAAGAGGGGCAGAAGAAAAAGCGTAGGCTTCTCCTGTTAAGAAAAGAGAACTGGGTCACAGGAAAGGAAGAAGAGATGTTGACAGAAGGAGGAAGAAAATAACACTACAGAATAAACAACCATCATTTCTACACTGAGTCACTAACATACTAAAGCTTAACCTAACACTTGAAGCTTCCAATTCTGGGTGGTTTGTCCGTGCTGGGGCTGAAACCCAGGTACCAAAGTTGTTCACTGCAGGAGGAAGCCTAACCTACCTACCAAATGATGCAGCAGTGCCCTAACACCACTGGAATACTGTTTTTATCTTGCCCAAGCAGAAGGAACTAAACCACTTTCCAGCTGAGACCACTTTCACTGGGGTGGACAGCAACTGGGACAATAATGGGCTGTAGAAATCCATGTAGCAGGACACGGTTACTCCAGAAGTTTTCATTCCCTGCTTATCTGCTGTAACTATCAACACTTTCCTTATACGTAGAGCTATCAGTCCTCCCAGTTCTACCAGCATACTTTTCCACAAAAAGGGAAAATTTTAGGTGCAGCTTCCAGAAAAGACTTTAAAAGCAGGCACTGCATTTTGCTGTTTGACTTGTTTAATTAACTAAACTTCTGCAAAGAAGCAGAGAAAGCAGAAGAGGAGGAGGAGAAAAAAATCAAAGCTCAAAATCAATACTGTTAGTAGATATTAAACAAACTATTTAACAAGCCAAACTATAATACTGGGCAAACAGGGCATTCACCTGGACACACTGATCACAACAAGGACACTATGCACAAAGTACAGCACGGAAAGCTGGACAGAGAAGAAAAAATAATAATAACAAGGTCTCCCTTCTAATCCACAGGTTTTGGAAGCATTCACCTTATGTAGGCCAGCAATGTGAATAGATCTTACTACAGAATTCCTCCTGGGAGCAAAAAGTGGAGAAGAAATTAATCCCTAACCTAGCAAGGAGACTAGCTGGCACAAGTAATAAAAGGTAAAATGTTTTTTTGCCCCTCCAGATTTTCTTCCTAGTGTTGAAAATTAAACTGTAGATTCAAACGTATCATAACCGTCTTTGACAATTCATTTTACATCCAGAATTATATGCAATCAAAAAAAAAGGTACATTCTGGGCTTGTCCTCCTAGATTAGAATATTGCACTTATTATCTCAACTAAAAGGAGCTCCCTGTGTTAATAAAGACACAGCGGGAAGGAGTAAACTAATTAAAAACAAGGGGAAGGGTGACCTGAGGGTGGTGCTCTGCACTTCAGGATGGGTGAACAAGGGCCTGTATCAGTGGAGTTGTGATCAGGCTGCCAGGGGAACACCTTAATCATCGTTAATCATTGTCACGCCCAGAGCAGAGAAGGGAGGAACAGACCCAAGAGAGGCTCAAAACTGCTCTGCTCAGCTCCAAGGGAGATAGGGATGGATGGGGGCAAGATGTAGACGAAGCTATTCTAGGCCATTCTTTGCCAAAAGTTAAGAGGGGCTAGAAAAAAAAAATAAAAAAATAATTAGCAAGCTTCCAAACTCCTCTTTGCAGTTAAGAGGCCAAAGTTCAACTAAGAGCAAAAGAAACCCGTGTGAAGACACATGGAAAGGGTGGGCGTGTGCGCTGAAAAATGCCTTTATTTTTCATTCAGTGCTTCTACCTCCCAGACATTTTGATCACAACAGCTGCGCTCATGCGAAAAAATTCTTAAAACATACCCAATATATATACAGATATAACTATGTATATATGTATATATATATATTTATATATAAATTTTTATTTAAATAAAAAAGAAAGCTCGAATCCCAAGCCAATATGTGTATCAAATCCTTGACCAGCCAGGTCTGTAGGGCATAATCAAATTCAATGTGAAATAGTATATAAACGCGGTGCCTTGACTGGGCAAATTAAATAATTGCTACTCAAAAGAGTCTTCTGTTTGGACTCTCCTACTGGTAGGCAATAGTGGGACTGTATCCCCTCCCACCCCCCATTTTGTTTTATTTAACAGTATGATGAATGCAAAGCTTAGCCCAAGGTTTTTGCTATGACCTCAGCAGGAGTTAAGGTTAAGGAAAAAAACTAAAAACCAAGAAAATTTATTAACTCTTGCTTTACCCAACCAAAGCAATGCAGTAATTTATTACATAACCAGTGCTTTCTGATTTAGTAGTCTAACCCAGAAAGAAAAAAAAACATAATGAGAACAGGCCAAGAAGGTGCAGAGGGAGCAGCACTTTAAACATCATTCTCCATAGAGTTCATCATATACAGGGTCTCAGCCCAGTGCATGTCAACAGTCAAAAAATGTGCAGCAAGAACAAAATTTCTTTTGCTTCTTTAACTTTTAAAGAAAACATCTAGAAAGGCTTACACTTGTCTCCAACTTATGCTTACAAAGCATCTACTTGGAGAAGTAGCACACTATCAAGTAAAATCTGCTTTTCAACCCTTCTGACAGTGCACCTGAAGTGGTCATTTTGGGGCAACTTTTCCCCTATGAAAGGGGACTCCAGGAAGGATTCACCTCAGCAGTGGCAAAGAAGCTGCAGATGGATTCTCAGGTGTCAAATTCTAACACACACAGATGTTAAATAATGCCAACTTTGAAAAAAGACATAAAATTTCCCCTCTACTTTTTAAAGATTGCTATCATTGATGCATACAAATCCAAGATGTTGGGCTCCTTCAGTAAAAGGCCCTCGCCACAGCATTACAATTAAATAACTGATGTATCACTGAACAAAATAAAGAAAAAAAAATCAAGTTGGAGGAAATGATGATGTTTTTAATAATTATAATAAAAAATAGCAATGAAATTGTATCACTGAACAAAATAAAGAAAAAAAAAATCAAGTTGGAGGAAACGATGTTTTTAATAATAAAAAATAGCAATGAAGAAAAAATAAAAGCAAGAGCTGCTCAGGAGACATACATGAAAGACCTGTTTGAAGGGCAGAGAGGTCAGTAAGTCCCATTGCATCAACTCCATTGTATGATGATTGTTTTAAAGGCATAGCAAGAAGCAGGGGAAAAAAAACAAACCAGCAAACACTGGATGAACTCACGTGGTTTGCCAGCTTATTGTCAGTTCACATCCTTCCAGCTACTGCAGAACCTTATGTTCTCTCTGCTTGATATTCCTAGAGATTCTGCCTTGTTGCACAATGTTCACTGGTTAGTTAAGCCTCTCCAGCACAAGCCCCAAATAACCAGCTTCAGAAACACCCACGCTGCAGTAAATTGCTCTGCATCCCACCGACCTCCTTAGTCCCAACACAAAATAAAAGGCCAGCAACTTTCAAATAAAATAACCTAGGTTATGCACTAAATTTGTTCTCCTCTTAAACTACACATGCTATGCTGGGATGTACACAAAGGACTGCAACTGCTGCATTGCAAAGATTCTGTCACTTGTAGTTTAAACTTAAATAACTTAAGCAAACAGCCTCACCCAAGCTGGGGTTCAGTTCCCAGCTGCAACGGGAAGAACTGCTTTAAAAAAATGAAGTTTTTTAAACTTGCTGCACATCTTTTGACACTGCAATTCACAGCTACTCTCCAACCCTCATTCCTTGTTTACCCTTCAACCATACAAGGAAGTGGCCAGGTTGTTTCAGTTGTTGAGAAATTAAGGTGATACGGAAATATGCACTGGGTATGTAATAATACCAAAATAAAAGAAAAAACCTACTTCATTAAGATCATACAATTAATCAAACAGAGTATATATATAATATCTTTTTTTTTTAAGCCCTGGGACCCAAGGCGTCCGAAGTTATTAAAATAAAGTTCATTCACAGAACAAAAACAAATTTAATTTGAATCGCTTGCAGATACTGCTAATTTTCATTTTTTTTTTAATTAAAAAATGCGTTAATGTGAACTATGTGCAGGATTTGTTTCTAGTAAGTTGTGTTTTGTGCACATTGCCTCTGGACCTGCTGCTCTGCTACTGCTGTTGCTCCTGGGTTTCTCCGATCACCCCTGGAAAAAAAAACACGTGATGGGAAGCTACCAAAACCCCAGGAGAAGGAAGCCTGGAGCGTGCTGGCCTCACTTCATGGAGCAGATGTGGGTGTAACTCCTGCTCTCTGGGAGTCATGGCTGTCTCCTCCTCCTCCCTCAGGGTCCTCCGACAGGCTGAGAGACGCCGTCTTGTTCGACAGGAGGCCAATGTTCTCTTGGGTCAAGGCTGATCTATTCGGAACATCACTGCTGGAAGTTGAGGAGAAGGGGGGGAGAGCGTGAGGAGAAGTAATTACTGAGATGTTCCCTTTGTTTTAAGAAAAAGGACTTCAATATTTGTTGCTGCAGCATCTCAATGAACAGTTGTGAACACATTGTAAAGACCTGCCTTGTATAATAAATAGGTTGTCTGGTGTGCTGCAGGTACTTACCAGAAAGAGAAGAACTAATAAAAGGTTAACTGAAAACAAAATACTACATATCTTTAAGGTTTTAGATTAATAATATTTTTCAGATTTTTTCTGTATACGCCACAAGATGCACACCATGAACTCCTACAATGCACACATTCCACAATATGTAACTTAACTGGATCATTTCTCTTAATTCTAACAGTGCAGCACAGAACTCAAGAACAGGGCTTCAGAAGCAACTGACAGGGATCCCCCTTCTGAACAAATACCCACATTCCACACCACTCATGTGAAGTTATGTCAACTTGACTTAGTGAAACATGTGGCATTTGAGCTTTTTCTGCCCCAAGTATTAGTCCGAATACACACAGATGCCATCTGAAAATGGCCACTGTGCAGATTTCCAGCATTCCCAGCCAGCACCTTATTTCAATCCACTAGCAAATGTGATTTTAAGTCAATCCTAACATCTACAAAGATAAAAATTACTGCCTACAAATAAAACTGAACTTTGTTTCAAAGTTACATACCTTCCTAGACAACATCCACATCACAAAGCTTAGCAGGATGGAATAACTTTCCTCTCACATTTGAAACAATTATTTTCTTTGAAACTAGGATGGTAGATAAAAATTTCTTTTATGGCTGCTGTTTTATCTTCTGCACCTCTCTTCTAATCATCCAATAGGGCTACAAAGCTGGTGAGGGGTCTGGAGAGAAAGTCTTATGAGGAGAGGCTGAGGGAGCTGGGGTTATTCAGCCTGGAGAAGAGGAGGCTGAGGGGAGACCTTATTGCTCTCTACAACTCCCTGAAAGGAGGGTGTAGAGAGGTGGGGGTCGGTCTCTTTTCTCAAGTCACAGGACAAGAGGAAATGGCCTCAAGTTGTGCCAGGGGAGGTTCAGGCTGGATATTAGGAAAAAATTTTTCCCTGAAAGGGTTCTCAGCCCTTGGAATGGGCTGCCCAGGGAGGTGGTTGAGGCACCATCCCTGGAGGTGTTCAAAAGACGGGTTGATGAAGTGCTGGGAGGTCTGGTTTAGTGATGATGCTCCTTGTTTGTTGTGTGGGTGTCTATTTTTGTCAGTGAGGTTGACGGTTGGACAAGATGATCTTTAAGGTCCCTTCCAACCTAGAAGATTCTGTGATTCTGTGAATATTGCCTAGATGGACTTCTGGTCTTACAAACATTGCAGTTCTGTTGCGTTAATTGATATATAGTCTCATTCCACTCATTTACTCATTATCTGAAGTGGCCCTTAATTCATGCTGGCACTATAGAAACTTGATTTTACATCTTTTCCTACTAGATGCTTCCACATCAGAGACAGCGTGAGGCAAGGGGTATTATTCACATACAAGAAAGTGACCTCGACTAAGTCAGTCTCCTGTTACACAAGGAAAGGGTGAAGCCCACTGTTACCTGAATGTCAACGCGAGGTCCTCAGCTGGAACCTTGCTCTGTGGTTCTAATTGTCCATTTTCTGTCTGTTTAGCGGTGCCCATTTTGTTTTTTATATCCAGTGAAGACTGGCTCTCCTTTAAAGAAAACGATGAAAGAGAATCCTCAGCTGGAACCTTGCTCTGTGGTTCTAATTGTCCGTTTTCTGTCTGTTTAGCGGTGCCCATTTTGTTTTTTATATCCAGTGAAGACTGGCTCTCCTTTAAAGAAAAGGACGAAAGAGAAACTCTTTACCTTGGTGTTAAAAGAATTTGAGACTTCATCCTTTGGGACTGTAAGTTAGAGCCATACAGTGTAACCCACAGAAGCCATGAGACAAGAAAACAGACTCACTAAGATACGCTCGTCCTCTCAAGGACCAAAGGAAGGAATGATTCTTGTAACAACAAGCAGAGACCATAGACTGTAACAGCACACAGACTTCTCAACGCTAGCCTGTACCTGCAGGTGATGTGTTCTGTGTTAAAGCAGTTTATACAGCTCATGGCACAGTGACCTTGGGTAGGATTCACAGCTTTCAAGGGTGTCGCACTTATTTTCAAAACGGCGACAAAATAACAGCGGAGTAATTTCAAGTGGCTACAATTCAAATTCTTCCCCCAGAAGAATGAAGAAACTTCTCAGGAGGTTTTGAAGAATAAAAAGGTGAAGAGGACTCCAGCTGTGGTCTTTTAGCCAGGGGGAAAGGGCTGCAGCCAGCTACAGGGCTCTCCACTCCACCTCTCTGCCTCCCACCCCCATGGCACTCACCATGCTCAGCTCACGGGTTCTCTTCCCAATTTCCCTTTCCACCTGGTGTAGCTCCAAGCTCAGCTGTTCACTTGAGATCATCCCAGGCCACTTGGGAGGAGGGGGTGGGGGCTGTGGTTGGCCTGCCAGGGTAGTCGCCTCCCTCTGCAACAGCAGCCTGTTACTAACAGCCTAAATGCATAAAGCCAAGCACATACACAACTGAGCACACAGCACACCAAGCACAGGAAGAGCTCTAGGCCATAACTCTAGAGTATTGCTTAGTTGCCAAACCAAGGCCTTCTCTCTCCTCCTCTAACAAAGTCCCAATTGAAATAACTTCCAATGCAAGTTTAAATATTTTTTTTTTTACATGCAGACAAGTCTTTCCACTTTTAAATAAGCAGTGTTAAATACCTTTTACTGTAATAAATTTGCATGGGTTTTCCTCATGTAGCTTTTGTTCTCAAAACTAAGATTAAACACATGAACAGGAACACTACTCTCTTGTGAGCTATTTTATGAACAAAAGATAAGCAAATCTGCTTTCTTTTACAACAGTGCAATTCAATCAAAGTCTACAGTACAGCCAGTCTTATTACTAAACCATATAAAGTATCTTGAGAGATGTGGATGTAGCTCCCTACTGACCCAGATTAGGGAGCACAGGAACAGAGAGGGGCAAGTGACTATGGACATTCACAAGTTGCTAATTACTAGGAGCCAATTAAAAGCAGTAACTATGTCAGCCACTGCAAAAATCTGCCCATACTTGGGAATCAGTTCTGTTAAGTGTGTGCTCTGCATTTAAACACACTCCCTGTTACTGCACACAGCCAAACATCTGGCTGGTCTACAAGTAGAAATGCTCATTCATTTGAGAAGAAAGCAAAACAATAGAGTTGTTCATGCTCAGACTGAATTAAGTGATTGCTATGACCTCGCAACAGGTGAAGCAATAAAGCCTCCTGGATTTCAAATATCTGCTTGCAGCTTTGAACACCAGAGAAACTGAAAGCTGTTATTACTCAAAATAACCTACGAGTTCTGACAAATTCAAATTGGAGTAACATCAAGGCTCAAAACTCAACCACGTCGGATTTAGCACTGACACAATCACAGTAATAGTGAGCAGGAGAGGGCAGGCCACTTACAGGTTTGCAACTTTCCAATACTCTTCTATTATGGCAAAGGCAGACATGCAAGATTTAAAACATTTTCTCCTCTTGTTCCCAAACAAGAGCACGAGAACACAAGTTATGCTTCAGGTAACTAAGAAATGCACACTACTTGTAACTGCTGCTGCCATCACTTAGAAATTGTGAGCTCTTAGAACTAATTCTCTTGTTCCCAAACAAGAGCACGAGAACACAAGTTATGCTTCAGGTAACTAAGAAATGCACACTACTTGTAACTGCTGCTGCCACTTAAAAATTGTGAGCTCTTAGAACTAATCTGCAATAGCCCTCCTCTTATAACACATATTCTTGGGTAACCATAGTTTCAACAGAAGCTCCTGTCTACTACTTACACCAATTCCTTCTGGGAAAATATTAATATGAATAGTTGCTGAGGTACCTAGAAGAGTTTTCTGGTAAACATTTACTGATTTTTTTCTTAGGACTTTAAAAAAACATAACTAAAGCTTTACCAACACAATTCTTTCATTATGCCTTGACGTTTCTCCTTATGTGCTTCACAAAATATAAACAAAGATTTCAGCTCATTAATTCTTTTACAAACGCAAACTCCCATTTTTCTTCATATTGCCAGGAGCTACATTTCTTTTAAGCGGGGAGACAAAATATTAAGTTTAAACTTTTCAAGCTAAATGTCTTTTATATTTATTTTCTTGACTCTTGGGGCTTGTGCTATTTAGGAAGAAACAGGTACAACACAAAGCCAAACATGAAACGGATGAAGGTCATAGCTTTCTGTACATAAACCCAGACATTTTCCATGGCAGTAAAGCCAAGAGGAATAGGTACCTACACCACAAGTTTGCATCTGAGTCAAGAGATGAACAGAGAGGGGGAGTGAGGAGAATGAAAGCAAACATGGATGAGCACAGAGCAGAGATTCAAGTATGCTGTGGATTTGCACATGAAGGTTCTGCTGCTAAGCAGAGAGGTTTACACTTGTACCATAAACCCAACGCCTAGCATCACAGAATTAGGTATTATTACTGAATATTATTACAGCCAGAGAAAGATGGACATATGAAAAGCAGCTTTACTAGCTTTATCTCTCTCTATACCACCCCTCACCACTCCTCCAAATGCTGGTACCAACCTCTAGTCCTCGCATTTGTGTCTGCTGGCTGATCTGATGGTCTACTTGCTGCAGCTCCATGCGCAGCTGCTGCTCTCGTTCAGCTGATGGCAACTGTTTCCCATGACCAGCCACATCTGACATGGACAGTCTCTCCCTTGGGGATCAGAAAAGCCAAAATAAGGAGGAGATTTCCAAAAAGAGCTTTACTCAGCTGGCACAGAAAGAAATAGACGAAGAGAATTTACCAAAAAAAAGGCAAAGGCAAAATAAAGCAATCCTACCTGTCATTGAAACGTCCCTGAGAAGGTATATTCTGATGAGGAGAATATGGAGAGCCTCCCCAGCCACCGTGAGCTCCATAAGGACTGTAGTCTGCCAGTGAACAGAAATAAAACCACGTCACATGACTACTTTTAAGTAGTTCAGCCAACACACAGAATCCACCGTGAGCTCCATAAGGACTGTAGTCTGTCAGTGAACAGAAATAAAACCACATCACATGACTACAAAACTATTCTTTAAGTAGTTCAGCCAACACACAGAACTGGACAGAAATTAGAGAACAACCAGGAAGGTCAGCCCTGGAAGAGTGAGGAAGGTTAACGTTTCTTCTGCTGAAATGAACACAAAAAGGCATGTGACCAGTCTTATGTCTCACTCTTCCTGCACATCCAGCAAGATTTGCTTCAGCCTTCCAGAGTCTGAGTTTGTGAAGGACTTCAGACTCACAAGGGAAAGAGGGATCAAAAACAAACTTAGAGCCACTATGAGAACAATCACTAAGTAATTAAGTTCCTAAAAGACTTGAGGATTGATTGATATTTCTGAGATACCACGTTAACACCAATTTGAAGATTAAACTTTCAGGGAAGCCAGAATTCTACCTGTGATTAAGTCTAGAAAGTTACTGCTGGAATTAAGAAAATTAGTTTCTGGTTTGTTTCCAGCAGTTAACTCCTGAAAAAAGTCTAGAGGGAAGTTTGGGGGAATATAATTAAGCCTCTTCTTAAGAATAATCAGTGCACCTCAAGAAAGAGACCATGTTTTGGAGTAAGATATACAGCCACACTGTACACGTGATTAGAAAATAGATGTGTAGAAAATAAACCATTCCTACTTTATTTGCTTTGCCTAACAGTACACAAAACCAATGGCTGCATTAAGCTTGCAGCAGCAACTACTCATAAAGTAGGAGTGCAGTAATTTGTTACGATGGTTTTGCGTTATGTATTTGAGGAAGCAGTAACTTTCTGGCTTTAAAAGAAGGCTCTCATCCCAGAGGGAACAGCAGAACAAAGTAATTTTTCCAAATCATCACCTCATACACTATGTGTGCACAAACCTGTCTGTGGAACAGCAAGTAGTGGCAGCTGCCTTCTTCAGACTTAACTCTGGGTAGGGCTTACACAGTGATTTTTGTGGCATAACATACATGTGGTCTGTATTTCTAAGACAAGGAACAAGTTTACTAAAAATAAGAACAGCCAGCAAAATCCAGGAGCACAGATCCTACCTGAAATGATTGATTTGGTGGTAGCTCCCTGAACCGCCATGGCCTGCATGGGCCCAGAGTTCTGGTACATGGCTTTGGAAGTACGGGAGATAGCCCCAAATCTCGACACAGTTGGTCGGTCTCCAAATGGAATGAGGTCATCATCACCAGTCTCTGCTGCTCTTCGCTGCATGTCTAACCGCTGGTCACGCATGGCTTTACTATCTACATTCTAGACAAGATATGGAAAAGGCAGTCAAAAACTTTTTCATAAACAAAATCACATTCCTTTTACAACAAGATGGCCCCATACGGTAAGTCTCTCTGGTGTTCACTGTTCTAGTCATCCTTCAGCTGGTTGTCTTATTCTTCAGTTTGGAATTCCACCGTTAAGAGGGATGTCTCTTTAATGGTCTAACTTAAAATGACCATTACTATCACCACTGTGAAATAGTTGCATAATTAACTGCAAACAAATCCAAGGGAAGGGAGCAGCAAGAGGAAATTAAGACCGTGAAAGTCTAATGGGACAGAAAGGAAAAAACTTCCAGAACAAAATTAAACAGGAGATCTCTGAGGAATACATACTCCTTCCAAAGCCCAAATGAAATTTCTCTGAAGCCCAAATGAAATTTCTCTGAAGCCCAGTGTTAAGAACCATAGCATCTAACAGCATGCAAATGACTCAAAAAGGGAATTATTCAGTACAGCACTTACTTGGATATGTCTAGTACATCTTTTTGTTAAGCAGTAGTGCTGTTTGAAACATCCTGGTTTCTAACTGAGCTTCAGACTCAAACACCTTATGGGTCAGCACATCAACAGATAAAACGTTCCCTCTCTATTCCAAGAGCTTTACCAAGCAGTCACAAAGGAAAAGATGTACATAGAAAACAAGCTCAATTTAGTGGGATAAATCAATTTCACTTAACTCGGAAGAAGAAACAGGAGATTACCATAAAGATTTTTAACAAAGCTTTTCCTGAGATAAAATTAGGCCAGTTATGGGAGAAGTCACCTGGAGTAACTTAAAGCCATAAGTCAATAGGTTGTTTCCACAAATAAAAAAAAATAATAAAAAGCTTCCTCAACATATAAGAAACAACAAAAATACTGTCCCAAATAATTATCGCATCCAGATAAACAGAAAATGAAGATTTTTAACAAAGCTTTTCCTGAGATAAAATTAGGCCAGTTATGGGAGAAGTCACCTGGAGTAACTTAAAGCCATAAGTCAATGGGTTGTTTCCACAAATAAAAATAAATTTAAAAAAGCTTCCTCAACATATAAGAAACAACAAAAATACTCCCCCAAATAATTATCACATCCAGATAAACATAAAACTGTAACAGAAATAAACAGACTCAATTAAGAAAAATGGGAAAAGTGCTTAGTTAAATGGGAAAGCTATCTGTTGGCTGCCAGAAAGTATAACAGTAAGAATTGCCAACAATCAAGTTAAGACTTTGCTTAAAGAAGTAAAGCTGTTAGCACAGTGCTGCGTACAGCAAAAAGAACAAGGTAAGTGGGGCTACTACACAAGGAGGACTGGATAAAGGCAAAAAACTTTGGTATGGTCCAAAATTAAAATAAAACCCTGGAAGCTTTCAGTGAGGATAAGGATTGCTAGAAACACACAAGATAACACAGCTAAGGCAGCAATAAAGGGGTGAAAATGGCAGCCACAACTGAACTGGAAGCTAAACTCAAGAAATGTAACATGTTGAAACTGGGAGAGGCATTACACATACACAAGATAACACAGCTAAGGCAGCAATAATGGGGTGAAAAAAGACATTTTAATCTCAAGTCCATAGGATGCAAGTATTAATTTTAATTTATTTCCATTTACTGAGTGGAAGGAAAGAACACAGTAAAGCTGCAATGCCATCTGCATGAATCCAGCATTATTCACTCTCAAGGATAAGAATTCTATCATCTGAAAAAAGGAGTCTCTTATGGACAATTAAAAAAGGAAGAACTAATTCACTTGCCATCTGCAGCGAAGGTCTCCTGAGATTCTTTTTCCCTGTGAGGAGACAAAAATCTAAGAGTAGCAGAGATCCTACTGTCTTAAGGAAGAACTAATTCACTTGCCATCTGCAGCAAAGGTCTCCTGAGATTTTTTTTCCTTGTGAGGAGACAAAAAACTAAAGACAGTAGGATCTCTGCTACTCTCTGAAAACTAGCTCTGGGGCAGAATGCTTTGTTTAGCAATAAAAAAAGAGGGTGCCTCTCCAGAACTCTATTACTTCTCTTAATTGAGTACCAGTTTGTTCGCAGAGTTCTCTAGCAGCAGGGATGAAAGACAAGAGCTGTTGGTTCCTCAGTGCTGCCACTTGGCCAGCAATAAGCTAATTCTGACTAATCTCAGTACTTCCCTGGGTCAGACATGACAGTGTTAATGACTCAAGGCAAACACACTGCAGGACAGAGAGCAAAAGGACATGCAAAAAGACCCCAAAGTCGCAGATGAAGTGCCTTTTATTGCTCTGCTTTTTCTGGGAGAAAGTCTCCTTTTTGCTCCCACTTCACAAGGGACTTTCAGGGTCTTACAGGAAAGCACTTTAGTGGACAGAAAGCAGACATATTTAATCACAGCAAGGCAGAGGGGAAGAGGGAAGCCTGCTTGTGGGCAAAGTGGAGAAGCCAGACAGAAAAATTCTATGATTTAGTGAAGTGGTTGCAACACGTGAGCACCTGTCCACAGAAGAGCAAGTTCTGGATAGAATTTTCTTCCCCCCTCCTCTTATTGACCAAAAGAAAGGTCACAGTGACAATATACAAACAAAAGAGAAAATACTTTTGCAGATGGGAGGTGAAGGAGAAAACCTGCTGCATCTCTGGAAAACAGTCCCTCAGACTAAATGATCCTTTCTCTTGCAGACCTGAATATCGCATACTTCTTGCTGTTGAGTGATGCTTAAAGGTTAGGAAGAAACAGAATAGTGGTGGTATTTCAGAATTCTGCTCCTTTTCTTCTACAATTGTGACTCCCAATAACAACACCCTAGCAGCCCCTTCTTTTTGTAAAGCTGACCTAGCAAAAATGCAGCAGCACAAAATAAGATCACAGCCAGACACCCACAGCTTCAGTGAAGGATTGAATAAACACAGCATAGAGTTAGAAATTGCCCTCAAGAACAAACTCAGCCTAGTATTATGGTATGATTATGCTTCTCTCAAAAGCTCTATGCAATTTTGGGTATTGTTGTGGTCACAAATCACAGAGTCCTTCATGTGAAAACTAGTAACAGGGTTAACAGCAGTGACAATCACCTTAAAAGGATTAATATAATAATAATAAAAAGTTAAGCAGTGACAATCACCTTAAAAGGATTAATAGCACAAAGTTAGAGTTACAGCATCTCCTTCTGATGGAAGAAAGGAACAGACAGACATGTTTAATTTACAAGCTGCCACTTTGCACTTTTGAGCTTAAATAGAAACACTGCCACGTGCTTCCTCATCAGTGCACACATCAGTCTTTCCCAGCCCACAGAAGTATCAACTTCTCTTCTGAGTTCCCCCCTCATCCCCACGTACCGCCATCTCCACACTCCTCGCTGCCACAACATCTTTGGGTTTTGCATCTTTGGTTCCAATGTAGGAGCCGATGGTGTCACAGGACCAGGGAGAGTACTGGCTGTAGTCATTTCCTTTGTATTTCCCAGCTACCTTCAGCTCTTCATCCAAGTACTGTACAAAAACAAAAATCTGGTTCTGTAAGTGAAGGGAAGAAGCAGCTTCACAGTTACCACTACTAAGTTCAACAGCAGTGAGCTCGCAGAAAAACACCACCAGGTTTGGTTTTTTTTCTTTTTAAATCAGATAAATAATCATTTGGAATTGGACCATAGCAAGCATGAAATGTGTAAAATTCTGATCACCTGGCTACACTCCCAGTGCTGACTATTCACTTGGCCAGTATGAAAGTGGTATTTTGTCCTTGGTCAGAAAGATAAACCTCTAGTAAGCTGTTACTTAATTCTAAACATGTCAGGAGCAAATGAAGCAAAGTCCAGTGGCCATGAAGCCTGACTACTTCAATTAATAATGGCTCAAAACCACTTCTCTTGGTTGTACCAGAAGCAGATAGCTTAGGAGCAGTGGCAGATCAGAGAATCAACAGCCAATTGAGAGATTGGAGACTGCACTAAAAGGGCTTCCCACCTGGGGCACAAAAATCTTGCCGACACTGTACTGTTCCAATTTTCTTGTTGTCTTCAGCTACAGCACACACAAACTCCCAAGTATTTTCTAAACATGACAGTAAATCCTATTTTTGTCAAAATATGCTTACCTCCTCTGAATGAAAAGGATGAGGCAAGGTTGGTGACGGTGCAAAAGGAGGTGGAGAAATCACCTTCCTCTCTTCTAGCTGGGCCATGATCTCTTTCCTTCGTCGGTGAAGTTCATCGAGGCTGGGATGAGGCTGAAAAGAAGCCAGAAATAAGGTTACAAATCTTTTGAAGCATTCATGCACAGTTAGTAGTTTCAAAAGTGTTGTTTACCCAAACAAAATGACAACCATATACTGATAAATCTATAAGCTATGTTAAAAATGCTTCCTGGACTCAGCAATACGATTCAGAGCCTTTAATCTGAATGACAGCTACGTAAGTACAACTATTCTACAGGACTTGATTCCAGCTGGTGATTTACCAAAACAAATTTGTACACTTCTACTGGGAAGACCCTCCAGTTTGCAATCTTAAAATAAGAGAAAATTCGAAAGAGTAGAATTTGAAGTTCCTTTATCAAGGGATGTATGTTTGTCTATTTCTTTCTTTAGGCACAGAGATGGTCAGTGACAGATGGGAAGTACAAGAACCCCCACACAATCATTTACACACATGCTTTTCTGCTTCGAGTGCTAAGTAGCAGCCTGCTCTTTTACAGCAGAGTACAGAGTAGGGCCCAAGAGGTGATTGTCCCCCTGTACTGGGCACTGGTGAGGCCTCACCTTGAGTACTGTGTCCAGTTTTGGGCCCCCTACCATAAAAAAGACATTGAGGTGCTGGAGCGGGTCCAGAGAAGGGCGACAAAGATGGGGAGGGGTCTGGAGAATAAGGCTTATGAGGAGAGGCTGAGGGAGCTGGGGTTATTCAGCCTGGAGAAGAGGAGGCTGCGGGACGGCGTTATTGCTCTCTCCAACTCCCTGAAAGGAGGGGGTAGAGAGATGGGGGTCGGTCTCTTTTCTCAAGTCACAGGCGACAGGACGAGAGGAAATGGCCTCAAGTTGCGCCAGGGGAGGTTCAGGCTGGATATTAGGAAACATTTTTTCACTGAAAGGGTCATCAGCCATTGGAATGGGCTGCCCAGGGAGGCGGTTGAGGCACCATCCCTGGAGGTGGTCAAAAGACGGGTTGATGTAGGGCTGGGAGGTATGGTTTAGTGATGATGCTCCTTGTTTGTTGGGTGGGTGTCTATTTTTGTCAGTTAGGTTGACGGTTGGACAAGATGATCTTTAAGGTCCCTTCCAACCTAGAAGATTCTGTGATTCTGTGATATTAACATCATTACAATTGCAGACTTGACCAGTAACTAAATTGCCTTCCAATTTTTGATCACCTTTGTTAAGGGTAATCAAAGGTGTACCTCTTCTTAAAGTTCAAGCTTCTAATTCCTCACAAAAAAAACATTACCTTACTGCAAAAAAAAAATTATCAACTTCTGAGGTAGTTCATATTTTCTCCTCAAATGACTACAAAAATGCAATATAAAAACCATACCCTGTGGCATGAAGGTCGAATCTGACTGAGATGTGGAGCCACTGGGCAATAACCCTCTGTTTGCTGGTATCTGTCTCTGGATTCAGGTACGTAGGAAGGTACAGCTGCTTGTGGAATCTCAATGGGTACAGGGCTTCCTCGGACGATCTCCTCCCGCTGGTAGGGCTGGACGGGGGGATAGACGCGACGGCTGTCGTAGTGGGGTGGGTATATGGGTTGTCCCATAGGAGGGTACTGCTGTGGCTGAGTGTACTGGGGGCTGACCACACGATCCTGAAGGTAGGGTGGGTAATGGTCTAAGTAAGGTGGACCAGGTTCAGGAGCTGACGGAGGAGGTCGGACAAAGCGAGACATGGACTGAGGGGGATAGTAAACTCCTGAAAGAAGGAAAGAGGAAAAAACATAAACAAAATACAGGAAGTGATTATCACAACTGTTTACAAAAAACAAATTGTTTCAAACACTCCGGTCTACAAGTATCATGAAATTCACAGTATTCATTAAATTCACATTTGTTGTTTGCCCCCACTATCTAACCAATATTTCTACTCAATAATTAACCCCAGCAAACCTTGAAGCAGCAAAAGCTGATCCAAAGCTCACGTGACACAATTTAATTATCTAAATAAGATACCAGCAAGGTGTAAAGGTTACAGTAGCTGGAGAAGAGGAGGTAAGATTGATCACACCACAGAAGTCCTGCTGGCATTCCAAATAGAAATAATTCCCTAGAAAGTCTCTGCAGGTTGATATGAATGTGTTTAGCTAGACTAGACCTAGAAAGTAAACTGAAGATTAGCCTGTACATCTTCACCCACACTACTAAAATTCAGTTTGTCCCAACATATCAAAGCCATTGCCTGTGTAAAGAAACTTGGATTAACTAGAATTTAAAGTTATCTAAAGATTTGCTCTACCTCTCGTATAGTAGAAAGAAATTTCAGTACTGTGAATCGTCAAATACCTCCTAGTTACACGAAGATTTTAGTAACCTCTCTGGGATCTCTAGATCATTAAAAAATATGCATGAATATATGCACATCATCAACAACATGTGCATCAAATTTTGTAGACAAGTCAGATGTTCATTTGCATACAATGATCAAATGTAAGCTTTCTTCCCCTTCAAAATGCTCCACAACTTTCTAAAAAAATGGCGTCCCCCTCCCTTTCCCTTTCTAGAGCTTTTTCTTCTTCTTTCCACTTCCTTTGGTCTTTCACTCCTTATTTTTCTTTCATATTAACTTCACTTTATGCCATTTCTCTCTCTAATCTTACATTGCATAAGAATCATTCTTATCTTTATATATAGACATACCTTTTCTTTTTAATCCCCTTCTATATTATCTTTCTCCACTTGGTCTCTTTATACTCAGAACTTCTCCTCTTCCTTTTTTATGATGTTTTCCTTTTTGTGCCCAGCCCTTGTCTCATTTCACTTGCCTCTACCTATTACATGCATGTGCTGACATTTCTGAAACACCCATACACTTTGCATCAAGGATGCAAGTACTTTCACCCCTCAAGCATAAACCCCTCTGCTGGTTAAGCTTTATTTCCATTTTCCTTGAGTAAAATTAAATTAAGGTTTACCACATTAGATCCTTTACCTACCCCAGTTTGGAAGAAGTGAAGAAAAAAGGATTTGCTATACTGGAATGATACAAACCTCTGTTTTCACTTGCATTGAAGTCCTCAGTCAAGATATAAAAACCCTCTAACCTCCATCCTATTATGCCACCAGCACATTGGTGCCTGTAGTCCACGTGATACGCAAGAGAACTCCAACTTAAGAGCTTAAGTAAACACCAGAGGGGGAAGAAAGAATAAGATCAATATGAAGATAAAGAGCTTGGTCTCAAACTTACCTTGTTGGTAGGGTGCTGGCTCAAACGGTGGGGCTGCTCCTCTAGGATCTTGATAGAACATATCTGCTTGCTGAGTATTATACAACTGAGACCCTCGTGGTACCATTTGCAACTGCTTGGTGACAGACACTGAAGGCAGATCTGTTGGTGCCCGAGCGGGCACAGGATGAGGGTTCACTGGTAAGGCAGAAATAGAGCTCTTGGGGACAGACTCCAGTCTGAAAAGCAGAAAGATGACACTGCTCATTAAGGCCTGATACAGCACATTGTACTTTAAAACACTGCTCTTTGTCTATATTCCACCTACTGAATGCTTACATCACCATCTCCAATTAAAATACAAGCAAAGAGGGAAGTAAAGCAGTTTAGAGTTTTAGCTTTAGTTTTCTACTCCACTGTTTAATCACTTAAAATTGTAACACCCAACACCAAACCCAATCTGTTCTGTTCTTTTAATGGGTTTACTTTGTTTCTACTGCATATTTACACACATGACACTTTGAATAACAGTTAGGAAGACCCGTACAAGTCAGGAGGGGATCCAGGGGCACTGCTACTCAGATGGTCCATCTTCCCTGGCTTCAGAGCGGTTTCGTAACCGGAGTCTGTCCCTCGAGAAATAAGTTGCGTCACCGTGCTGCCTGTTGACACAATTCCATTTGGCAGAGCAGAAGTTTTCCTATTGGGCAATTCCACTCCCCCTTCCTCCGAGAGGATAGCTCCTGAAGGTAGGCCCACCTCATTCAGCTGGCCCAAGGAGGCACTCAGAGGTCTTCTGGGAACCAGACGCTTGTTCATTTTACGGAATCTTCAGAAAAAAAGAAACCACACATCCAAAATTGAAACAAAAAACTAATAGGAGTTGCATTTTCAAGATTTTTTTTCAAACACAGGTGCTAACGAAATCTTCCAAGTTTAAATTCAAGTTTCCTAAAGGCTTGTGAGAAATTTATTATGAGTATCTGTTAAGACTACAACTTCACTGCTATTTGAACCATTAACAGCAGTTTCAATCAGAAGAACAAGGATGGATTTTTAATGACAAGTATGGATTTTTAATGACAAGTACACCAGGAACTCATAGCTCAACTCCACACAACAAATCTAAACATCTTCTTTCCTGTACATATATTCATTTCAACTGTCCAGAAGAAAACCAAAACCAAACATCCCATAAAATATTACCTACAGTAACAGAAGCTTCAGAAAAAGAATCACAGTTTATTCAAGTCTATTTCATTCAGAGAAGAAACTAATAGCAGAAAATTATAGTGACAGAAGATGAACAGATTCCCTTATGCACTGTTGGTCCAACAATAAGCCAACCAAACCTTTGTGGCCATGTGAATCATAGAATAGTTTGGGTTGGAAGGGACCTTTAAAGGTCATTTAGTCCAACCCCCTCGCAGGGGGGCCCCCAGGGACATCTTCAACTAGATCAGGTTGCTCAGAGCCCCATCCATACCCTGGATAGCTTTAATGCACAGTTTGTTAAGATTTATGTTACTGTATCAATATGCAGCTTATACTGTTTGTATTGTCTGATAAATTAAGTGATTGCAGAGATATAGCGTGTTCATAGAGTTTTTAATTCCAAAGATTTAACTGCTTCTGAAAAATCTGAACAAACACAAGCCTTTTAATGGAGGTTCCACAAAAACGAGGAGACTGATGGTACTGGACCAACGAAGAGAGCAAATTCCAGAGTTGAAGATCCTCCATTGAACACCCTGCCATTAGCTTAGATACCAGAATGCAAGTGAGATGGTGTATTTGTAGGCCTGAGTGTTCCTGCTGTTTGTATTGCAGAACAAGAGGCCACTTCCTATGCAAGAATGTTTCAACAGGGCTGAAGCCAACACTTTCATATCGCATCTAACAAGCAAAGTGAGATGGTAACACAGACCAGGAAGGTACACGCATTACTGTAGAAAATTAAAAAATGGGGCAGTTATACTCTAGTAGTTAATCTTCAGATAATCTTTATGTTTGCCCACATGCACAGCATTAACAGCAATGCAACAGAGGAAAAAAGTTTTTGGTTGCTGTGAGTTTTTGTTGTTGCAGTCATTTTGGTTTTTAGATGTGCAGACAAAGTGTAACATTGCTATGTAGATTTGAGCTGTTCATCTCTAAGAGTTCCTGGATTATCTTCTAGCCACCTTCCTAACTCCCCATCAACACCCCAATTTCCTGGTTGGATTGATCTTTACCCACATAATCAAACTATAAATTCAAGCTACATAATGTTGACAGTGGGTATCACTCAGAATGCATTACAAGGGAGTAAACAAAGGAGGGTATCATTCTTGCCTATGCACACTGACTGGGTCTTTGTCCCTTGCTGAGAGGGGAATCAGCTGCTGCTGAAGCAAGTCTAGATTATAATTTGCTATCTAAGACATTGCCACACACGTCCCTGTTAACCTTCTTGCAATCTCAAAGCTATATATAGAGATACAGGAACTACACAGCAACAGCAATGCATATTATTCACACTAAACATTTTTAAAAGGAGGCACACAAATGCAGTATCTACTCAAAAGAATTAATGAAAGATAAAAGGTATAAGGAAGAACTGGAACTCAAAGTTCCCCAACCACCTACAGAAATTGCTGCAGCCTGAAATAAAACAAGCATTCACTTCACCCCACAACGATATCATTACTAAGGCATACAAGCCAGTCTGGATAAAATAGGCCTTTTCCACCTACAAAGCTGACAAACAGTCCTCCTTGAGACATACAACTAGTTCAGAGGCACTAACACTGACTCACCACCTGCATTAACCATTCAAACCAGCACTACCAATCTCCATTTTCTCAATACCAGAACAAAAGGGGGAAACCCCCAACTGTTTCTGCAGAACATACGTATCAAAGTCCTATTCTCTGTTCATTTGAATAACTGCCTTTGTCGTTCTAACACCACATGCTTTGCTTTTTTTCTTCCTGTTTTCTCAATGCATTGCATGCTGGCTATACAGCCAACAATCTGCCATATTAATGATTCAAGTTTTAGATTTTTAAGGGGGAAAAAAAAAAAAAAAAGAAGAGACTGCAATGCCATTTCAAATTCTTTGGAGTTTTCATCCGATTAAAATAAAAAATATGCTGTTTCTCTAAAGATGATTTCTCTAAAGAATTTTTTTGGCCCAAAAAGCAAGTAAGAAGTGATATACACTACATAAAATAAATTGTATTTATTTCTTTTAACTCTAATAATCCATTTTATTTTCAAAAATAAGTAAAACAATCTTCAGAACAGCAGCAGCTTGCTCTTGGATAACTGGGTGTCCCCTCTAAATCTATAAGGCACGTAACTTATTCACAGCACACTTCATATGACCATCATTTTTTAACTCTTCAACAAGAGAACCCTTATATCTGAAAAACTGCCAGCAACCTAATCTTCACACCTGAATATAAAGGCAGGATGAGAAATACACACAAATAAACCACCAGTCAAACAGCATGTTTAGTCACGCTTCAGAAATAAGAGAAACAGCCCACCTCCATAATCTCCAGTAACACTTGTGTAAACATCAAACTTTCAGAGCTGCATTACTGCTGAACAAAGCAAAATATCCTATATTTAAGAATGAACAGTTCCAAAATACAAGAAATGTCTGTTAGAAGTTTTTCATATTATTTCTTGCTAATGTATCAGGTAAGTTATGCCTCCTCTCCTCATTCCTAGGCATGATAAATAACTCTTATGGGTAAGATGAAACAAAGATTGGACTGATTTCTACCAGAAGAGATGCACTTACTTTTCTAGCTCCTCCTGTGAATGTGCAAAGGTGCAGCTGGCCCCTCGGGGGCATCCTCCTCTCTGTTTCATGTCTCTGCACATGTATGTCTTGTACTTGCTGTGCTGAGGAGGCTGACAAGGTTAAAAAAAAACAGGTGAGATACCTGAAAATAACTGCACTTAACCAAAAGTCAAACCTATCCTCTTATTAAAGGCCTGATATATGACTGTTGACAATTCCTTCAATTTAAATGTTCCAGAAGTACATAATGTGAAACAGATGACTGGAGCAGTATTCTTATTTGGTTATTCAAGAGTAGATATTTTGACAACTAAGTCACTATCAGGTTTTTAGAACACTTTTATTCAAATTCTTTCCTGAAGCATGACTGGATGGCAGCTGTGTTTCAGGAAACAGTTACGCGGACAAAACTGTTATAGCCTGAAAAAAATAACCATGATCAATCAGAAATTGCCAAATATTCATCAAGCTTTGTGGTAGATTGAAAATAAATACAATTTAGTCAGTTACTTTTCCCTTGCTTTCTGCTAGCTCAAAATGGCACTTGAGTATCCCTGTGATCTCTATGAGAGTTATTTTTCATCCAGTTCCCATTTACTCCCCTTTGGACTAAAAACCTCTTCACTATCTACACTAATTACATCCATCAATAGTTGAGGATGCAATCTTATTCTTACACAGATCAGCAGGGTATAGGTTGTCCTCTGTATTTTTCTTAAGTTTTCCAAGAAACAACCACATATTGCAGTCTTGCTGTCCCACATACGTCCATTTGCCAGTCTCTCTAAATACATTGCCAGAAGGCCAGAGATGGTCTCAAAGACATTTAAGTTCTTACAGTTTTTATGGCAGAATTAAATCAGAGGGCAGAAATACCCTATCAGAGTTCCTACTGAGGGAAAGGTCTGTAAAAGTAAACTCTCGCTCTCTGAAAAACTCAGCCAAAAGGTGTAAATCCATAAGAAGTCATCTGCAAACTGATTTTTTGGGGGGGAGGGGGAATCTACTCTATTGAAAACAGGATTTAGGCAGGGTGTGCCTAAACTGCACAGCCCTCTGCTGGCCACTGCTGCCAGCCAGCAAAACTCTGTCCCCTTTGCCATGTGGGAGGCTTTGGGTTCCCTTCCAAGCAGCACAGCGTGTACCAGGTCTAGGCAATGGTCTCACCAGAACAAAACCCCTCACTGTTTTTCCCACTGCTATTTCTACTTATGTATTCCTACTGCTTTCCTTTGGCTGGTGACTGCTCATTAGGCACCCCAGTGAATGCAAAAAGGTAAGAAAAAAGCAGAAATAATTCACTAATTTTGCCTTTTTTTTTGCAGAGATAACCTTTTCTACTAGTTTAGCTCCCTGAACCAGCTCTCCAAGAGATGAGTGCCAAAGCTGGGGAGGGAGTGGGAATGTGTGACAGGCAGCTCTGTCTTTCAGCAGCAGTGAGCACTTATATCAACTTAGCTATACAATGGAATGAGATCAAAGGAACAATTGATAAGATAACTATCAGATAAGGTAATATATATATATATATATATTTGGCAACACCGTTTCATTTCTGAAACAAAAGTTTTGTTTCAGGAACTTGGATGATACTTTTATATGAAGTCTTCCTAATCTTTAAACTTCACAAAACATTAAGCACAGGTATAAGAACTATTTCTTTATCACAGAGACAAGTGGCTGTAATGTGTCACATTAAAACAAAGCCAAGAAAATCCCCACAGATCATAGTGCCAGGCACCCCGACTTCTCTTCCTTACCCTCTAGTCACAAGGGATATTTATTCATTTCTCTAAACTTGCAGCTGGATCAGACACTTTTCATCTTGGTGAACTGTGCAAATTAAGACAACAGATATTGCAGGGGGCGTGTGCTGTTTTGGGTTTGGATTTTTCCCTTTCTTGTGTCTTCTTTGATAACTGTGACACAGCAGTGATATTTTAAATCAGCTCCTCAAACCAAATCCCTCCAGATGAGATTAGTAAATCTTTACTATAGGACACAGCCAATAAAATGTAGGGAAAAGCATTTTCTAAATGATGTAGCTTTTACCTGTTGCTGATCTGTTCCTTTCTTGCTGTGATTTTGGATATAGTCCACTAAGCCATGAACCACAGTCCTCACAGCAACTAGTCCATTTTCCAGTTGTTCCCATGTTGGAGGTGGAGCATCTATTGCATTGACAGCAAACAGAGAATATAAAAAATTAGAAGGATTTTTCAGAACCAGGTATAAAGACTCCATTATTATACCAAAATATTGCTTCACTAGACAACCAAAAGGATTTTATTGGAAATGTGTGTCATTAGATAAAAAGTGTTCAGCACCTTAATTCAGGGATATGCACCACTTAAAGAATAAAGCTACCTATAGACTCAAGATCAAACCACGCACAAAATACCAAATAATTTAATAATAGGCTTGCTAACTTATTTTCTTTTACCAAAGTAAGATCAAACCACGCACAAAATACCAAATAAGTCAGCAAGCCTATTATTAAATGATTTTTTTTTTAAACCAAAACTTTCATATCCCACAAAACCTCTAAAGAATATGTATCATACAAACTCTGTACATAATGAAAAAAAAAAAATCAGGCTGAAAATCCTTCTTTGCATTCAGACTCCTGTAGGTAGTATCACTCTGTATAAATAGCATCATCGCTGGCCCAGATCGAGCTGGCAGAGTCACTGAACAGCAACAGAAATTGATCCCTCTCACATGGAAAAATGTCACAAGGCAAATTATGTATCAGACCACGGTGTAACACACAGCAACATGAATAAATTGTAAAGTCCTAATTGTATAGGGGCACTTTTCTAATAATTTAGTCTATCCCAGCAGATGACACTCCCACTACGTGCCTACACACTCTGCTGCAAAACACAGGACCTCAAAGTGCTTCATTTAGCACCTTTCAAGTTCTTTAGGACAATTACATTCTATTCCCCTCACAAGGGCTAAATTCTTCCAGATGTGCTTCAAGGTACCTATAGAAGAGCAGGGAAGCAACTCAACAGCAGAGAAGAGAAACATCAAGATCAGGCTTCGTTTATACAAACGGAAACTAAGAGCTACAACTTTTCATGTCCTGAAGTCATAGTTCAGGCCTTCTCACTATTTGGATATTGCTTTTACAAATACTAACAGGTATAAAAGAAAACTTCAGCCACAGCACTCTCCATTCTGTCTCTTCTCCTCTCCCTTTGGATATTGCTTTTACAAATACTAACAGGTATAAAAGAAAACTTCAGCCATGGCACTCTCCGTTCTGTCTCTTCCCTTCTCCTTCAGGTGGTCCATCCTCTCAGTGCTGTTGACTTTTCCAACAATTTCCATCTTTTTCTCCTCTGTCACCAGCTCAGACTTTATTTCCCTTTATATTCTTTCCAACTAAATTCCCCTTCCCAGACTTTCACACCTTTGCAGAATTACATATTACCAAGAAAAATACTAAATTCCCTAGGATAAGAAATCTTTCTTGTCTAGACTGATTTTTGCCCAGCTTCTGTTTATCCAATCTATCAAAATTCTACTTTGGAATCAAAAACACGGGAGATGCCTTATGATTTTAAGATGCCTTATGTTTTTAAGAGGCTTCTAAAAGAGTCTTCCAAGTGCAATGTTTGCAGGCTAGAGACCTCAGATCAAAAACTAATACACAGAAAAATATATACAATTTTTAGATTAGTTAAGGAAAGTCCTCAGAGACCTCAGATCAAAAACTAATACACAGAATTTCTAGAACAAAGAAAAATATATACAGATTTTAGATTAGTTAAGGAAAGCCCTCCATCTGGTAAGTATTTTCTTGAAGACTTTCCCTCGTTTGTAAACAAATTATTTGCTCTGGTAAAGAGCTGGAGAGAAAAAGGTATTTCAGAGTGACAGCTAAGGCTCTGCATTAAGCAGAGTGGTTCTATCAATCTTCCTGTTGCTTTGTAAATAAGGTTTTGAATAGCAGCATGTGTACTAAAAAAGGGAAAAGGAGGAAAGGAGGAAGCAAAGACTGCTGCCACTCCCCTTAGTTAACATTGCCCAATATAAAGTACACACCATGTAACCTCACAGCATTATATGTATTCAACATCCATATCCACGCTCACCCAAACACCGTCAAACAAAGCAGCTCTCTTCAGAGAAGTGGTGAAATTATTCCAGCCATACTTTGGAATCTACTTTAGCTTCAGAATAGTTCATTTCCTCACACAGATTACTGCTGTTCCCAAGCTGGTTATGAATACCAATCAAGAACCTTAAGTTTATGAGTTGGGGGATGTTTCCTTCCACTTGTTGAGCACTTTTCAATCCTTCAACAGTGTTAAGCTGCCCCTGCTAAACTGTAAGTTAAAGGGTTTTTTGTTTTTAACATCTAGAATTACCTGGACTAGGATCAATATTTGCCAGGAGCTCTAGGTGAGGTCGAAGACGATTCAGGTTAGCTGGATCTCCAGTCCTCTGAAGAGCAATAGTTAATTCCTGAACACTCTGTGCAAACGAGGCTGGGGTCTGCAACTTAAAAAAATTACAATAATTAACTTTCTACAGGCAAAGCAATCCTCAACATTTCAGATGGTTGCTCCACAAGCTCACAAGAGCTCTCTTCCTAAACTGGAGGAAAATGGTTTTTTTGCACAAGCCCATTTCACCACCTTCTATTAAATTCCTTCTCCAACATTAAGAACACACAATTCTTTGACAGTGCAGGTTAAAATAAAGCTCTAAACAGACAAAATGAAGGCTGGTATTATTTCTAGCAACTTAATCTATTTCTTTTCTGTGCTAGGTGGCACCCAGAAAAAAAATAAAATACAGAGTATCAGAAACCATTTAGTTTAGATTTCTGAAGAGTCTAGTATCTCCAATAGGTTTGTATCCTGGTTTAAGCTGAGTACAGCAGACAATAAAAGAACAAAATGGTTGAAGGATAAAGATTCATTAGGTTACAAATGTATATTGTAATTATTTAGGCCATAATGAAATAACAGGGCAAATAATTAATGGGTGAGTACACAGAGGCACAATTTGTAAATTCACATTACAAGCATTTAAATCCACTACAGTTGCCAACAAAGTAGACTGGGCTGATTTTAGGTGGCTTTACCTTGTCAATGATAGACTGCATGTGGGATTTGTGAGACTGGTCTCCGTATAACAGCGAGGACCACTGATCTGGTGCGATGCGTAACCCTGCTTCCATAGCTATCTGAACTATCTGGGAATCATGTTCCCTTCTCAGAGCTTCGTACGTCCGAAATTCCTCCTTCAGTTGCATCAGGGAGGAATCCTCATCTCGCTTTGTCACCTAGTGGGGAGAAACGAGCCAAATGCAATTAAGCGGTTTAAAGGCAGAGATTATGCAAAGTCCAACGCAAATGAATCTTCAGTCAGCAACAAAAGTTCCTCCTCCCAAACTGAAGTATGACACTATGCAGTGAACACTAGTCCTACTAAAATAACACGCTCTTGTTAGGTCTTCATAAAGGGAAACCTCTATGAAATTGACACCAAACGTAATTTACTCAGACTCTGACCCAGATATTGGTGGTATCGTACTTCCTACAGCACCCACACCTTACTGCTCCAATCAAGGTATTTGCATTCTTCTCATTTATCGAAAGTGAATGACATTTAAGTTGAGCACCCAGGAATGGATCATGAAATGCTGTAAAGTACAATAGGCAGCTTAAGTTCTCTCTCTATAATTCTGACATCCAAGAGCCTCAGATCTCTTCGTTTCTAACCATACCACTACTCAATTAACAGAACTGGGGATTTTCCAGCTTTAAGCCTCTTCTAAGTAGATAAGTTATACTACTTCACTGGTTTTGTTACTGTGCTTCTATTACACCTGGACAGAGTAAAAACCCAGCTTTACAGACTAAAGCTGTAATTTCAGCCTACATTGCCATCGTAGCTGCACGACAAAGAACCCTCCAAACACACGTGGGACTTACTATGTAACACCCCATCGTAGCTGCACGACAAAGAACCCTCCAAACACACATGGGACTTAAGTAACACTTTCTATAACTACACATATTTTTAGGCACATTTAATATTGCAGGACAATGTAAATTGAAAATGAAAAAAATAACTGTTTTCATAGCATTATGAACTCTCCAAGCAGAATTATCTTCTTACCTTAAAGCATGAGGCTCTGTAAAGCAGCTGGACAACATGCCCAATGCTAGTTTTAGAAGCCTGAGGAAATCGCGGCTCCAGCCTCTGAACCACAAAGAGAACCAAGACCTTTCGTGACAAGGCAGATCCATCTTCCAGAGCCAGCAGAACCAGCTTTAAAGCCTCCTCTTGCATTGCTGGTGGGAAGGAAAGTGCAAAGAAAAAGAGACAAAAGATGAGAGAAGACCAAGAAAATTTCTGCAGACTTTCTTGTTTCGCTACAAGTAAAGGGCAGCTACAAAACTCCCTCAACACACACACACAAGGAAGATGAGCAAGAAGGGAGAGAAAAGAGGGAAGTAGCACTTCCAGATTCCCAGACTGTGACTGGGGAAATAGGATTTTTTGATTATTTTTTTTAATTATTATTTGTTCTATATTTGGTATCAAATGATACTTCTTTGTTCCTGTTTATACACCTCTCGATTATTAATATAAGAGTTTTCCAAGTGGATTGTCTATATCCCACACCCGTATCAGCAGAAGAAGAAGGGCAAGGTTGGTTCCCATGCAGGTAAAAGAGTAATTAGTGCCTACACAAATAAATGAGGTGCTGTAGCACTGCATATTTTACTAGGTAACAAGCCTCTCTTCCCTGCAGTGATGCAAAAGTTAGCATTCCAAACTTAAGTCTTCCTTCCTTTGCTTCAGTGGGGAAAAGCTTCTTTGTGTTTTTTTCTTTGTTTTAAGAAATTAGCTTCATAATTCAAGGTGTTTTTGTTGGTACTCAACAAGCAAAGTCTACATTTTCAGTAATGAGACTTTATTAATTTTAAGCAAAATTGAGTGCTTTAGTACTCTAGGAAAAGGAATTTAATTTCTAAGTATGGAACTTTTAAAAAAATGTATACTTCCCCACTGTAACAAATCTCTCCCCACAACTGCTTTTAGTACCCTACAGAAGGAAAAGAAGCCATGTCCAGTCACTTCTAGTAGCCTTAATTTCCTAGAAGGGTTTTACTTCTTCAAAGAATAGCAAGAAGCTAATTTTATCTTACCACAAGAACAGAAGGACACGTTATTCAGAATTTTATAGACTTGCAAAAGCACTAACAATGCTAGAAAGTCCGTGACAGCAGCCCAGTTGATATATTGCTAATTCTGAAGACCTACAATTAAGAAATTAAGCCCTTGCCTCAAAAATTACCCAGGCTATTTGACATCCATTTATCAATCCTCCTCACTCTTGAATTACTTCTAGGATAGAAGTAGTACAGTGATCATAGAATCATTGAGGTTGGAAGAGACCCTTGGGATCATCGAGTCCAACCATCTACCCTACTCTACAAAGTCCTCCCCTACACCATGTCCCTCAGCACTGCATCTAAACGGCCCTTAAACACATCCAGGGACGGTGACTCAACCACCTCCCTGGGCAGCCTATTCCAATGCCCGACCACTCTTTCAGTGAAAAATTCCTTCCTAATGTTCAATCTAAACCTACCCTGTTGGAGCTTGAAGCCATTCCCTCTCGATTTATTGTTAATTACCTGTGAGAAGAGACCAGCACCAACCTCTCTACAGCGTCCTTTCAAGTAGTTGTACAGAGTGATGAGGATGTTACATACCTGGTCCAAGGAACTGGCACCCTCTGGCTCTCACCGCAGCCCAAAGGTTGGAAGAGAGCTGCTGAGGATTTTGATGCTGAAGAATGAGCTCTGTGACTGTCCTTTCACCCAGCGACCGCGCTGCACGCATGGCTCTGATCCGCCCTTCTTCCTCCACCAGCTGGCAATGAACTAATGTCACAAGTTTCCTTTGCATGGGACGACTTAGCACGCTCTGAGTTGTACTGTTAAGACCCACACCTTCAACACAAAATGAAGCAGAAAATAAAAATCGATAAAATGAACTACCTCAAGTCTCCTCTTCTTATGCCAGCCTTCAACCACTGTACTGTAGAAGTGCAAACCCAGTTCTCCTGATATCCACTTTGTGAGAAGACATATCAGAATTTCATTTTTGTCTGGTTTTTTTTACTCAGCATTCAAAGCCAACAGTTTCTGGGAGCCAGCTTTCCCAGGAATAAGGTTTAAGGTTTAAGTCTTACGACTGACTGATTTGGCTCTCTAAGAAGGTGGAACCTCTAATGAATTCTCTCCCCATGTTGGAGTTCTGTCCTGCACCCTTCCATATGGATTTCCCAGGTGTGTCCTCAAGTATAGGATCATACTGCAGTCCTTCCTTCCCTTATTCACAGCATTCAGGGATCACTCCCGCCTTTCACAAGACATTTATCTCCCCATGTTGGAGTTCTGTCCTGCACCCTTCCATATGGATTTCCCAGGTGTGTCCTCAAGTATAGGATCATACTGCAGTCCTTCCTTCCCTTATTCACAGCATTCAGGGATCACTCCCGCCTGTCACAAGACATTTAGTCTTTTTATCTATATCTGATATCTCCACTGATTTGGCCTAGCCAAACTGAACAGTCTGGGTGATTATGTGCTTATCATACTGCAGTCCTTCCTTCCCTTATTCACAGCATTCAGGGATCACTCCCGCCTTTCACAAGACATTTATTATCTATATCTGATATCTCCACTGATTTGGCCTAGCCAAACTGAACAGTCTGGGTGATGTTTAATTATGTGCAAAACCTGTGATTCACAAACGTGCTGGGAGCCACTGAAACCAGGTTAAAGGCAGAAGTGACTCGCTAGACACGGGGCTGCCATTCCCAGTTTGTTTCACAACACAGAGCTTGTTCCTTGGGTCACTACTACTCCGGGTGATGCTGCTGTCACTCTGCAGTACCTGGAAAAGCTTGAAACAGCTTTTTGCAAAAAATTCTTTTTTGAAAACCTGGTGCCCATGATGTTCACTTCTACCACTTGGGTTGACAGATTTTCCAAGTCCACCATACGTAAGATAGATAAAATCCATACTCCTGGACCTACTGTAGTTTTGCTTAATTAGAATTACTCAGATTGATATAGCTTTTGTGTAAGATCCTGTATAAACAGAATATTACTTATTTCTTATATATCCTATATGCATTAACGTTCTCATTTCAATTAATTCCTCCTCCACAAACAAGCAGTTCTCACAACAAAGCAGAACTCAAAAAAAAAAAAAAGGAGAATTATTTTTACTTAGTCTGCAGAGGTCAACTCAACTTCCTAAGTTTATCTCAACTTACTATACTGTGGCCAAATGCCTCAGCCTTTTCCAGTACTTTTTTTTGACAAAATGACTTGAAGTCCCCCCTCTCCCACTAAGTGAAGACATAACATTAATGCTTAAGAAAGTTAGTTCAATTTGTTTCTAAATAAAAATCAATATCCATTTTTCAAACAGACTAACTAGTCACTTGGAAAGTTTGTTTTGCATCTTATTTCTTTCCAGCTTTCATTTGCAAAGGAAACAATGCAGGAAGTACCTCTCGCGCTGCTGAGTGGTTTGAGGTACAACGCTAATTCTTCCACACATTTCTTGCCCTCCTCATAATGCTTGGTATCTTCAGCTCCACTACATAAAGTAATTGGCTGCTGCTCAGGAACCTGAAAGGAGATGACATGTACATCTATGATGAATATGCAAAAATAAGTGGCAGTCATGCTTACAAGCACCACATCAAGCTTGTTAATATCAAGCATTTCCTGTTTTGTTCCCCTTCTGTGTTGTTTTTTTTTTTCTATATTATTAAGCATTTTTTCAGCTTGTTTAACAAACAAATAGCATTAAAAGAATCAGGAAAAATTAAGACAAAAAAATGTAAAAAATTTATGGTTAGCATACTTCTTTTATTTAGTGGCAGACAAGAAATAGAAGCAGAGACTTACTGTATGACCAAAAAAAATATTACATGAAAAACATGGCAATTCTTGTAACTATAAAACTTTGGCTGAAACAACACACATATTGAGACAAGCCCAAAGCTGGCTGGCCAAAAAACCCAACCAAACAAATAGATCAGAACAAATCAGACAACAAACCCTGGGTTGCAGGTAAGGACAGATTCATATCTAGGGCCTCAGCTCTAAAATCATCTGGGGATAAGTGATAGGAGCTATTTGGATTAGTGGGATAAAGACTTAGCAGCAAATATACTAGGACACCCTTGAAACATATTCTCACTAGACCCAATTATCAAGCAGCAAGATCAAGGTATCCTACACAGTACATAGAAACACAGCCTGCAAGTACTAGTCTGTCAACACAGGCCAGGCACATTCTTGGGTTGTTTTGCTTTTGTGGTTTTGGTTTTGTTGGGTTTGCTTTTGGTTTTTTGATTGTGGCATTTATTTCTTCATCTAGGCAGTCACTAAAAATCAGGATCTTTCAAAGAAATGCTGGAAACAACCGCCTCCCAAATTGTAATTTTGTTTGTTTTCCTCCAGTTAAATTCTTAAAGCTTTCAACAAATTTGGGGGTGCAGTATAGCACTGTACTAATGTTTCTCAAAACCACTACTGACAGGATAATGAACCGGTACTAATGTTTCTCAAAACCACTACTGACAGTATTGATTTTGTTTGTTTTCCTCCAGTTAAATTCTTAAAGCTTTCAACAAATTTGGGGGTGCAGTATAGCACTGTACTAATGTTTCTCAAAACCACTACTGACAGTATAATTTCTTATAAGACTAAAACACAAGCACTTTTTGCATATGCTACCGAAGTGCAAACAGATCTCAGGCTTCAACTTCTATTTCCAAATCAATCACTACCCCACAGGCAGTAAGAGCATGCTAATCCCAAGAGCTGCTTACAGGGACCAACCCAGGCCCTCCATCTAAAAGCACAAGCCTTTAATGCTTGAGTTCAAGACAGCTACAAACCCGCTACACCTTCACATGCAACCCAGCCATGGGTAGCATTATGATGGCAGCAGCAAATAAAATAATTTCTTATAAGACTAAAACACAAGCACTTTTTGCATATGCTACCGAAGTGCAAACAGATCTCAGGCTTCAACTTCTATTTCCAAATCAATCACTACCCCACAGGCAGTAAGAGCATGCTAATCCCAAGAGCTGCTTACAGGGACCAACCCAGGCCCTCCATCTAAAAGCACAAGCCTTTAATGCTTGAGTTCAAGACAGCTACAAACCCGCTACACCTTCACATGCAACCCAGCCATGGGTAGAGCAGAACTCACAGCAGCAAATAAAAGCAGTGAATATATATAAAATATACACACACACACATATGGTTACCACCACCAATGGGGACAGGATCTTTTCTATCAATTTGCATGGAAAGCAAAACATTTGAATCATAAGATTACTCTTCTACAGATTTAGACAACTATTGGGTGAGAAGTTGCTTGTTTGACACACATTGCAAAATAATAAGTTACTAGCTACGTAACTCTTGTTTTTACAGTAGATGACAAAAAAAATGTCTCTGAGTGTAACCCATCAGCTGCAAGTAAGAGAGTTGATACCACACCCCCAAACTGACATAATCAAGATCAGACACCTCTTCTTTTACTCCTAGTGAAGGGAAAACCACAACCAAGTTTAATCACACCAAGGTTAGTGCAGATGCTTTTCACAGACTGCAGTCCAATTGTGAAGTTTGGGGAGGGGGGGTTTCTTGGTTTTGTTCTAATTTGGGGATGAAGTGGCATTTGTTTAGGGCAACAGCCTCAGCTGGACACACACACATATGGTTGCCACCACCAATGGGGACAGGAGCTTTCCTATCAATTTTCATGGAAAGAAAACCATTTGTATCATAAGATTACACTTCTACAGATTTTAACATAAGTGGCATTTGTTTAGGGCAACAGCCTCAGCTGGACACACACACATATGGTTGCCACCACCAATGTGGACAGGAGCTTTCCTATCAATTTTCATGGAAAGAAAACCATTTGTATCATAAGATTACACTTCTACAGATTTTAACATCTATTAGGGAGAAGCTGCTTGTTTGACACACATTGCAAAATAAGAAGTTACTAGCTACGTAACTCTTGTTTTTACAGTAGATGACAAAAAAAATAGTCACAGAATGTAACCCATCAGCTGCAAGTAAGAGAGTTGATTAACATAATCAAGATCAGACACCTCTTCTTTTACTCCTAGTGAAGGGAAAACCACAACCAAGTTTAATCACACCAAGGTTAGTGCAGATGCTTTTCACAGACTGCAGTCCAATTGTGAAGTTTGGGGAGGGGGGGTTTCTTGGTTTTGTTCTAATTTTGGGGATGAAGTGGCATTTGTTTAGGGCAACAGTCTCAGCTGGACCGTTTCCTTGGGATTTGGGAAACAAACATTAACACCTTCAACGTTTGCTTTCACGTTAAGAGAATACTCCACCTCCTTTTCAAAGGCACTGCCATTTTAGCTGCCTGCTTCTGGCCAGGGAGTTACACAAGCAGAACTTGCTTATTGATCAAACACCACTCATCTCCTGCGTTTGTGCCAAGACAGAGACTACAGTCTCTCTCTTCCCTATTTACTGCCCTAATATATTTTGTGCAAATCCCTATTTGCTCCTGCAAGCATTCAGTTTGGTGCTGGCCAACCTGAACTACAACAGCCAGCGGACAAAGGGGGCTTGGAAGAGACGTGGGACAGGATTCAGGGTTCAGCTGTGGATTTCCATCTTGAATGAAGGCAGGTTTAGCACACATTCACAGCAGTGGGTTGGAATGCCAGACACAGCACAACTCCACCAGCGAGACACAAGGACTATCCAGGCAACTAACAGAAAGCTTCCCCCCTCCCCCAGGAAAAAGCTGGCATAGGAAAAAATTCCCCAGAGTTAATCAAGCTATTCAATACTGTATCTGCATTTTATTCCCATTTCTTCTCTTTGCAAAGGAAGCTTCAGTGTAAAAGTCTAAAAGCCTTGCACAAACTGAGCCTGAAAGAGATTAGTTTAACTTTCATCTTAAGCTGGAACAAGCATAGTATTGAACAATAAAACACGATGCTTATTTTGTGGTTTCAGGAGTCTTCAGGACCAGAGAAATGTATTTCTCCCCCCAACATTTCATCTTCATTCATGTGATACATCCCACAGTAACACTTACAAATAATTTGCCCTTTTGTCAGTTCTACCATATGCACTTCTAAGACTTTAAAAAAATATTTTAGGGTTAGAACAATTATAAAAATAGCATCTACCAAGAGGAAAAATTATAAAAGACATGATTCATAAAAGTCACAGAAGAGCTGAATTTTAATTTTGGCTCTGTTGTGGAATTGCTGAGGGACAAATGAGAAATAATACAACTTCAAAGCATTTTCACTTCCCCTTTGCAAAACAGCCTTTCAAGAGCAAGCAGGACCTTCTGGTCACTTCTGTTTACAATGTCTCTCGAGCTCCTCAAAATAGATGCCCTGCAGAGTGACTTCATTATTTTAATCCTCATTCAATATTCCATTCTCTCAGACACCACACCCTTATCGCAGTTTTCACTGCGAATGTATTTACATAATGTAATATACACCTCCCAAGGGGGACTGGAACAAGGCAGGGAAAATCATCTCAGATGTTTAATGACTTGAAATTTGCGATGGTTTTGCGTGCATCTGCCTTGGCAATGGCTGTGAGTGTCCTGGCAGTGGAATGTCACCCATCAGCATGACTGCTTCTGGCTGGGGGAAGAGGCAGGTTATGACAGCATGAGGAAGGGGACTGGAAAAGAATTGTTAAAGCATCACCTCATACCAGGCAGCAATTTTGAATTGGTGATTTAAGTATAATTTGATGAAGGATGTCAGCTTGAGTTGTCACTAATTACCATTAGACATCTAATTGCACAGAATGAGAACACGTTCAACAGACCAAACCCCTTTTTGTCTGGTTTGAAAACTGTTTCCCTCCATATTTTTTTTCCCCCCATGAATGGATGATTTGCTTCCTGCCAAAAAAAAAAAAACCAAACAAAAAACCCCAAAAAAACCCAAAACAAAACACCAAAAAAACCCCAAATCCAAATCAAACCAAAACAAAAAACCCAAACAAACCCAAACCAAACCAAAACAACAAACCCCACCAAACAAAAACCCAAAGCCAGAACAACAGAAAACAAAGCCTACTGTCTTCAGCTCCTCAAGAGTTTGTACTAAGGACAACTTCTTCACAGATAATTCCTCTTGTGTGACACCTCGTTTCACCAAAAATTACAATACATTATTAAGTGTGCCACTAATATCTCTGCAATTGTCATCTTCCCCTTTTGAAAGGGCCATGTGTTAAGATCACCCCACCTGTTCTCTCCTCATATACATGATTCCATTGCCTAATGCCTAAAATCATATTTATCATGTCCAGCAGGAGGCTATGAAAGAAATTAAAGTACCACAGGAATTTCTGTCACTTCACGTCACCTGTTTGGAATGTGCACACTGCTGGTTCATGTGTTAAAAAAAAACAGGAGGGAAGAGATTAGATGACAGATCCATGATTATGCACCTTCAAAACACTGGCCTGGTGAATGTTTAAAATAGTTGCATATAGTGAGTAATATGTGGATGCTCGAATAGTTAAAATTCAAAACCTTATTCCCATAAGGAATAAGGAAACCCAAGAAGTTTAAAAAGCAAGGTATTCCATGAATGCCTTTTTGATTTGTATCCAAGGCCAGCTCACAACATGCTTAGCTCCTGCTCAGGTGCTCAGCAATTTCCAGCTCTCCCAGGAATAACAATTGTCATCTTCTCCTTATAATCCCTTCTTGCTGCCATCATCTTCTGTGGCTGAATTTATCTACACGTGGGCTGAATTGCCCCACTACTGCCTTCGAGAATAGACCCTGTAATCACTTTTGATGTGTACCACACTACAGTGGGGGAACAGGAATTTGTGTCTCTCCAACAGTTAATTTTCACATCAAGGGTGGCTAAAGCCTGGGCAACAGTTTTCATTTTGAGAAACAGCCTGGAATTCAAGTAAGAAACAAACTCTTTTCACCATTAAATTGATGAAACCTACACAGAGAGATAACGCTATTGTCAGAGAAATAGGTTACTGCTTCCCCAGGTGCCCGAGTGACAAATTTAGTACATTTTCCCCAGAAGTACAGTCCTGCTTATTTTATGTATTGTGCCTGTGTGAAAGCCAACAACCGTGACTTGCCCTGGAATCCTGTCATTGCTGCCAGTCACAGCAGAATAGATTTGTTTCTTCAAACTGCCTGGTCTCCTCCTCTGCCTCCAGCAAAAAAGCCCTCGACGCTCATAAATGTGTGAGCTTCCCAGAAGCCTCTCTAAAGGGAAAAGAACAAACTGCTCTTCTACCCCCTCTTTGATAAAAGCTTTAATTGTGTTGTACTATATTGCCTTTAAAATGAAACTTGAGGTTTTTTTGAATTTATCATTTAAAAATAGAAGTATCACACATCTCCATGGACTCAGGGCTAGGGTGTACGGGGGTTCCTTGGAGATGAGGGGACATTAATGACACATACACCCTCCTGAAACTAAACCAAGAAGTGGAACAAGAAAACAGGCTTTGTTCATTAAAGCTGTCGCCACTACTCATGCTCTGTAAACTGGCTTGTTGCCCACAGATCATTTTTATTGATATGTACCAAAGATAGCCCACTTTCTTAATGGGATAGAGTTCAAAATTACTGTAGTTTCTCTAAAGTGCTCTTTTTTTTTTTGTCCTTAATCAAGACTTTTTCTGTGTAGAGATAAAAAAATGGCCTTAGAGAGACTAGTGGAAAATAGCAACTGTTTCCCTGTCCTTCACAGCAGAGTAGTACATCAGTCCCATTACTCCATAATCTGGTAAACACTACTACAGGTGCCAGGAAAGAAAAAGGAAAGAAGAGAAAGGAGAGTGAGTTACACTGATTTCATTCACATGCTCATTGAAATTAGAAGCTGGAGGGGGAGGTGGTGCAAATTTCTCTTAAGGGGAAAGTTTGTCAGTAATAAAAACACAGCTAAAATCAGGGATTATTGTTTAGTTAACAGAATGCAGCGAGCAGCGTACACGCAGGAATGAGTGGCAAATAAGGGGAAGGCAATACTGTCTCTTTTCATGGCATTTGCAGGTTTAAGGTCATTGTGAAAAAAGGTCCTATGTAGCTTAATAACATAAGAATTTAAGATGCGAAAAGGAGCACAAAATTATATTAGTTCAATGTCAGAACCTAGACTTCAGAGCATTCTCAAGACAAACAATACAATGAAGCTATTCTTCCTTCTTCATAACTCACAGGCATATGGATGAGGGAACTCTGGTTGACTAACTAGCAAAACCAGAATAAAATTCTGAATTACTTGCAGCAGAGGCAGGATGATTTTCCATCTAATTCCAGATGATCTTGTTTTTACAGAAATTTTAATTTGGGCAAATATCAAGTTAAAGCTATCACACAGCTTCTCAGAAAGCTTAACAAATGCACACAAAACAACCCAAAAACACAAGAGGCAAGAGACATTTATCATAAACGTGGACATTTGGATACAGCTGGAACTATTCTAGAAACTCCAGAGAGGAAGAAGACAGAAGGGAGAAAAAGAATTACAATACTTATTTCTGGGATCACCCACAGATTTCACACCCCTTTGAAGCTCTTCAAAGATGGTGGCGTACACGTATCACAGAAATGGAAGCACAGGCTCATCGCTCTCTCCTGCAGAGCGGGATGAGTCACTCAGCGCAGCCAGAAACACAACTCTATTATAAAACTTCTTAAATACACCACATTTGAGCTTCTATGCTATACACCACAAAAGAACAACAAATTAGCCACATTACTTGGTAAACCAAATGAAAAAAGTAGTGGCAAGATCACGTCTGGCTCTCTGGGCCACAGTATCTAATGAAAAGCATCGTAAGAACACCCTTCTTTGCTCCACACCTTTCAAAGTTCCTCCACACCACAGCTCTTCTCTTTTCCCTGGGCTATGGATCTCATTGATTTTTCTGCTACCTCTAACTCAGCTGAGCCCAGACACAGAAGCAGAACAGAACAAAACAATAACCCCTCTCAGGTAACTGCATCCCATCTTTACTTTTATTCCTCACCCGTAAGTTCGACACGATTGTCCTTCCTGCCCCCAAGTCCACAATCCTGCCCAGCCTCGGGAGGTATGGGTCACAGGAAACTCCCAGTGACCTAACCATCATAAACTTATGCCAATTTAAGTCTGTGCTGCAACACAACACATCCCTACTCCTCTCCTGAGGCTACTGTCAGTACCAGTACAGCTGGAGTACTCATCCCCATCAGATCACTGGACCAGCTGACCTCACGAGTACTCATTCCAGCAGAAAGGGGTGTCTCAGGCAGGCTCCCCCCACTCACCTATATGGATTTTGATTAATACCTGAGCTCAGGAAGTTACATTTCCAGAGCAGTTTCAAATTAAACATAAGGCAGTATAAAGGCTGCTACCAGAGGGGTCGGTCCCACTTCCCTTACTCCCTGCTCCTGCTTTCAGAGCAACCCATCACAAGGGTAAAGCAAGTAACAGAAGAAGAATGGCTTCCCACCAGACAAGCTCACTGATCCAGTTCATCCTTTTGGGAGAGCACAGCTAGACACAAGTTAGGGAAAAAGGAAGCGAAGAGAATCAGCCCTTTCTGGTGACAGTCCACAGTGATACTAAATCATACGTAACACAAAATCACAGTGAGCAAGATTTGAACTGCCATTCCAGGCACCTCTACTGCAGCATGTCAAAGGTCTAAAACCTGTATTCCTTAAAGTCAGTCTACAAAAAGGTAGATGTCTACTCTACACACCATTAAGACAGAATCATATTCTTCATTCATGAATTGTCCATGTTAAATAAAAAAAGGAAAACAACACAGAAACAGATGTTAAAAAAAACCAACAAAAAACCAATACCTGAGCACCCACTAGTTGCAGCAAGGCTGAATTCACAGGAAGGAGTTCAATGTCTGTATTGATAGTGGTCTGGTCAAAAGGGCATGCCTTACGGTGGAGCTTGTTGAGGCACATCTTGCAGACAGTGTGGCCACAACCCAAGCTGATGGGCTTCCGGATGGTTTCGTCGAAGGTCTGTGTGCAAATTGGGCAGGAGAGAAAATCCGTCCATTGTGGAGCTTGTACAGGCATTGCTTCAGGAGTTAATTGACAAGACAAAAAAATCTAAAGCACAGATTCCACTGGAATCAAAATCTTGGAAAAAAAAGTCTGTTTGTTTTTAAATATCTTCTGTAAGTACAGACAGTCAGCACATAGTGTGAAACATAACCTAGAAGAAAACAGAAACAGAAAGTTAGCATTCTCTGCTGGAGCTGGCATGTGAAATCCTTTGTGCTAGGTAAAATACTACTTGTAGCAGTGTAGCTGAACTAGGAGTGCAGTTCTGACATTAACAGAGGACTGAGTCATGACTTGTTTTAATTCCAGCTAGTCTCTGGCACTGGAAAAGCCACTTAAAACTGTTTTTGCTGCTATGCAGCTTTCAAAAAGAACCAAAAAAACAAACAAAAAAACCCCCCAGATAGTTATCTGTCTCATTGAAGACGTAAGACTAATTAGCTTTTGGGTTTTATGTTCTCTTTTTTCTTTACAAATGAGCCAATTAACATCAACTATCATTTTGAATTAAAAAAAGACAGTTTTTGAAGTGCTCTTGTGCTTATTCCACTAACTTTTTTTTTTTTTTAAATAGTATTAATTGTAAGTTTCAAATAATTCTGCTTAGACAAGGTTTCATTCAAAACCTCTATCACAAGTAAGGTTTCCTCAGAGTTCAATGGGCTCTGACTTGGCTCACAATGACTCTGTGGAGACATCTGAGCTGTCATACCCTCAAGATGCGAGGGAGGAACAGCTCAGGGTACAGTCAGACACTGTCTGCATGCAATACAGCTCATGCCCATCACTAGGTAATATCACACACTGCTACTAAACCACCTTCACACAAGCTGGTGTGTGCAGAGTGAGGTGGTACCACATGGGTTCATCTGGGCACATCTCAGTTCCCCTGGGTGTAACTCAGCATTGATAACTTGCCTTCTGTCTGCCCACCCAGCAGCTCCACGCCTCAAAAGCGGGAAGGAAATTGCTAGAAGACCCTTTGGACTCAAAGAGCAACAACAGTTTCTCAAGGACCCTTTTGTAACCCTAATTTATATCATTAATTGCCTACCTAGACATTATATTGACAGAAGAAGTAAGTTTTTTTTTAACACATTGAGAGATTACATTGAAACACTCCAACATAAGAGGAGCTGGGAGGTCTTTATTACTTGGCACTTCTGAATCAAACAATTGCCTACCTAGACATTATATTGACAGAAAAAGTAAGATTTTTTTAACACAGTGAGAGACTACATTGAAACACTCCAACATAAGAGAAGCTGGGAGGTCTTTATTACTTGGCACTTTTGAATCAAAATGCTAAAAGGATCAAATCTTACTAATTGTAAGGGAATGGAAGCTGAGACATCTCTTTGGGACAAAAAAAAATAAAAATTAAACAAAACCAGAACTCTGCATGTAAGGAGAAATGTAAGAGTAGACAGATGGAGTGATAGAAAAGGAATCATTATCAAAAGGAAAATTGGTAATAAAAAAATTTCTGATGTCTGTCTTACTTCCTATTACCAATGAAGTTAGTAAAAACCCGGGCTGGTCACGTGGATTTACTACCAAACAGATTTTTCTAAATCAAGCAGCAAAACAACAAAAACCACCCCAGCCACCCAAATGTGCTAGTTTCACTTTCCCACACACCACTGGCTTCGGCTTTGTACCAGAGTGTGCACTGGCTTGCTAATATCTGTTTAGATAGAAAGTTCTTATATAAGAGAAAAAAGCAACCTTTTATCAAGTTTTAGGTTAAAAAAACAACCTCAGAATTAAAATCTCAATTCTAAGTAAAGGCAGAGAAAAACTTCAAGTTGGGACTTGTGCAATTCAGAATCAAAGTATTTTAAAAGAGCAACAAAAAAAAATCTAATGCTAAAACAGAGACTCTGAAAAGCCTCAGGCTTTTTTCCAGAATTGAGTGCGATGTTGTTCACAGTTACCATCATTTTGCCAAGACAAACAATGAGAAGTTACTAGTTAAGCTTTTAGCCATGTTTCAGCAACAAAACATTAAAAGCTTAGAAGCAAAATTTTTTATTAGCTTTAGAACTATCTTCAAAAGAAGATGTACCATGCTGTACCATGCCACTCAGACACCATCTACCAGCCAAGAAGGAATCAATAGGAAATCAATACTACCCAGACAGGGAGGTACTGAGGAAGAGGCACCGTGTGGGGTTAACCCTAACACTGCCACTGCACAACTAGATCTGCCAAGGTTGTTCAGGGTCATGGCCTCCCCTCAAATGACCTCTTGAATAGCAAATCAGTATTTTTTTTCATCTTGAGAGTAACCACATAATTCCCATTACTATTGTATGATTATAACCCAAAGGAAAACGCTTTACACTTGTAAGTTACTTGAGCTGACTGCCTAAAACATCCAGGAAATTTGTATTTCTAAGTCTTCCCTCCTTTATATATTTTAAGTAAACTTTGGTATTAAGTCTCCCAGAATAATCATTCTGTGTAAACCAAATTTATTATAGAAATTACCTTGAAACTCCAAAAGAATCCTTCTGCAAAGAGCAGTACACAGCCTGATGAACCTAGTGTATGTATTGCTGTGCTATGAAATAACATTTGAGGTTCCAAATCTAAGAGCTGAATGCTTCCTTTCTACCACACTAGAATTAAGATATCCACCAACAATTTCCCAGACTCATCTGCAATTCAGAAACAATTTGAACAGTGTTTGAAATGTTATTTATTAACCAAGCACTCATCTGCAATTCAGAAACAATTTGAACAGTCTATTTGAAACGTTGTTCATTAACCAAGCATTAAGGAAAAGAGCAGTTTCTTACTAGCTGAGGAAATCTAAAACCAGAAGCTAAGATGTGTAGATGGTACACATACCATCTACACTAAAAAGCAGATGTGGACATGGAGACTCCATAAACCAAGGCTCTGAACTGGAAAAAAGGAGTTGAACACAATTTTAACATGAGTTCACTAACTGAAAAAAAAATGTAAATAAAGAGAAACATGTTGTTCCTACCTGTACCTCTGGCCATTCCAGAAAACTGCCATAATGAAATAGGCCATATTTATTTACAACCTCAACAGTTGAACGAGAAGTTTGGGGAGTGTCAGGAGGGAGGGAGTAATTAGTGGCATCCCTCATCTCTTATCAAGGCAGGTCTCAAAAGGCTGGAGAACAACAGAAGCAAAGCTTACACACAAGCACAACTCTCAGAAGGGTCCAAATGAACTCAAGCCTGGTATTGAACTGCCAGAATATAAGGGTACATCACACGTGAATGGAAACCCCACAGCCCTGACTGTGGATATGCAATCCCTAGAGAGGCACACTTCACCAGTGGGTGGCAATTCTCCCTCACCCATGATGGGCTTCTCTCCCACCCCTCACTTCAAGAGACTACTGACACATACTGGTGCCTAAATGCCCGAGGAAGGCCGCAGATAGCACTGACAATAGAAAATATGGCTGGGAGAAACATCAGGAAATCATCTCTCTAAGCACGGTCTAACTGCTGGAACAGATGGTTAACTGGCTTGATCCAGCCAACCTTTTCCCCACAGGAGAAAAGAAGAGCTGTTTGAGCAACAAACCCTGCTCTGCTAATAAATCTCCCAAGCAGATCAGCACAGAACTGTAGAATTCCTGCATAAGAGGGGAAACAGCATCCCAGGGGCTGATGGCTCATGAGCTGCATGCGTCCAGACTGACACCAAACCCTGTACTGCTGCTGCTGCCACAGCTTTCCACATACATGGTCCAGTTTTCCTGCTGGCTCTTCAATCTTCAGACAAGGCAGCAGCATCAAGTGCAGAGATACAACATCAATCTCCCCCAGGAACAAAGCAACAGATGGGGTACCCACGTAAGAAGCAAAGCTGGGAAAAATATGCATCTTTCTGCAAGGTTTGTGACTTGCTATGACCTTGGAAATAACTGGAAACACAATATTCTCTATCTTCGAAGAGCTACCTTAAACAGGAGGGACTACAAACAGCAATAAAATCATGGAAACAAGACAGTTTCATTATCAGAGATAGCTATTGGAGCCATCATCACCAGAGAAACAGAACACTTCCTTGTACAGATAAGGTAGGAAAAGCATACTAACACTTTCATGGTATAGCACTTTTTGGTTTTAAATAAAAAAAAAAGATTCTCTCCAGTGTTATGCCAAAGGTGAGCAAAATGCAAAGAATGCAAACACCTATAAAAGACCTATTTAAATAAAATCCCCCTTCCCATAATACCGTGACATTTTTAACCCACCTTCTTTATCTACCAAGTATTTCACACTTGTTAGCTTCTTACACTTCAAATATAGTGAATATAAGTTCATGTAAGTATAAATATATAAGTATATATAATATATATACATATAGTATATATATTATATATATACACACATATCATTTTTAACCCACCTTCTTTATCTACCAAGCATTTCACACTTGTTAGCTTCCTACACTTCAAATATAGTGAATATATAAGTTCATATAAGTATAAATATCTAAGTATATATACATATAGTGTATATATATATATATGTGTGTGTGTATATATAACATAAGTTCAATAACACTTGTTTGTGTATGGATTGAGGAAAACAAAGATATCCCAAACTCAAGAAAACAAAAAACTAAAAAGCTGCATCCACACTTCAGAAACTGTAGGACAAAAAGCTGTGATTAAGAATGAAGACGCCCCAAGACACAGACCTTAAATACTACACTGGGGCCAGAGATACATTTATTTTGTCATTTCTGAGTTTGAACTTATGAAATACTTGTATGCAAGCCCCTACTCCTAATTAGCCCTGCATAAGCTGTTTTTATCCCCAGCTAGAGGAACCTGATAAAACTTCTCCTCTTTTCTGGGTCCTCCCCACCCGCCAAAACCCCTTGAAATTCCATCCTTCAACCCAGACTGGAAATGTCACGCTGTAATCAGATCAGTGACCCATCTCCTCTGGGACCCTGCCAGTGTTTCAGAGAAAGACAGGATCATTCTATAAACCACCAGTACAACCACTCAGGGCTTTATCAGAGTCCTTACTCTGCCATACTACAATACAGAGGGGTAACATTGTCCTGTCCAAGTGGTGTTACATCTGTGATGACCAGAGCCTTCCACACGTAGCTAGAAAGCTTTGCAGACTCAACCCTCAGGAA